GGGGGGGGGGGGGGGGGGGGGTGTTGTCTAAAGCAGCACGTCCTGCTCCTTGCCTGAGCTAAAATGGGATCCTGGTTCATCTCTGGGTGGTTTTGGTCACCTCCAGAAGCTGGGGGTGTTCCTCTGGTGACCACCCCAGCGCATGGGGGTGAGGACTCCACCGTGGGTGGACGATGGGGGTGAAAAATGGGCTTCAAGATCTGTTTTTTCCCCAAAACATCGTGCCCTGGCAGCCTGGTCCCCTCCTCCTGGGCTTTCTGTGGCCAGAGCCACGTTTGCCCACCCCAGCCCAGCTCCTGGCCAGTTTTGGGGCTGTGCACAGGAGCTTCAGGTATGTGGGAGCAGCCTGGCCCCAAGGGGGTGGCTTCTTCCTGGTGGCTTCAGCCCCACAGAAGGTCACCCCTGTCCTGTTGGTGGCACTTGCTCTCCCTGAGCCTGGGCAGGGGCTTAAAGTGTTCCCAAACAGCAGATTCTTCTCCATGGAAACTTCTCCGCGAGTGCAATCCAGGCGGGTTTGGGATTGAGGTTTTGGGTGTTTTTTTTCCCCAAAGAGTTTGTTATTTTAAAGTACTTATCTCTATCTAAACTTGTCTGTGGAGGTAGGAGGGGCGGAGTGACTGGTGCCAGGAGAAGATTACTCTGGGACACAGATTTGGGATGTTCCCCAGTAGCTCTCTTCGAAATGGCTGGAGACCCTGGTGGCCTCTGGCCAGGAAGGGGAGGTGGAAGCCCCCCGTGGGTCCTCCTTGGGGTGGTTTGGAGGCCCCCTGTGGGGCTGATGACTGATGGTGGAGAACGTGGTGCTTGGGATGGCTTGGGAGAGGACAGCCTGGCCGGGGCAGGGTGGGAGGTGGTGTGGTGGCACCGGTGGCATCCCATTGCCCCGGGGAGCCTTCCCTCATCCCGACTGCCATATAGCCCTGTTGATGGTGGCCAAGGGCCAGCTTTCTCCTCCCGTTTCCTCTGGCTCGGTCAGGAGAGCTGTGACCTGGGAGGTGTGAGGAAAGGGAAGAGGGCAGCCGTGGGGCACCCGCACGCCCTTGGAGGACTCACCAGCACAACCCCTTTCCTCCACCAGTCAGTATTTCCAGGGACCTGCCCCTTCTTGGCCCAGAGACAGCAGGTACCCACCACCCTCAAAACCCCCCCCAAAACCACGTTGTTATGTGTCCCCACCACCACCAAGAAAAAGCATCCCTTGCCTGGGGGAGGGCTGCAAATCCCCTTGCCCCCGGGTTCAGAAGGATGTTTGCAAAACTGGAGGTGCCAGAAGTGAGAACATCTGGGGCTGTGACAGCGTGACCTCCGGGGAATTTGGAAGGAGGGAGCGTGTTTAGTCACAGAATCACAGAATCTTCTAGGTTGGAAGGGACCTTAAAGATCATCTTGTCCAACCGTCAACCTCACTGACAAAAATAGACACCCACACAACAAACAAGGAGCATCATCACTAAACCAGACCTCCCAGCACTACATCAACCCGGCTTTTGAACACCTCCAGGGATGGGGCCTCAACCACCTCCCTGGGCAGC